ATGAGTTTTTTTGCGCTATTTACTCCAGGACTCTTTTAAAAATACATGAATTCCTCGTGAATATTAAAAATGAAACAATGATCCTTGAACTTCTAAAAACGCTGCGTTAATGGTCTCTCTCTGTCATACTTGATGTAGCTACAAGAAGATGTTATAGATTGATGAAGAACTTGATTGACTAATACTTGGTCTTCAAATTTAGTTACCGATGGCTAAAACGTGAATAATTATCTAGAGTTTAAAAGGTTAAACTATTTATAGGAAATACTCCCTCCGTCCTATAATGATCTTCCCAGAGCACTATTCCAACTTCACGGGAATTTATATTTATTTGTGTTTTTTCATGGCCTATATGATAAAATAAAATATTCTTGTCACCACTTGTTTTGTTGAACTTTTGATGTAGTTTTTAAATATGTATGTTTTATTTTTTATTTTTATACCAATATTTAAATAAAATAGATTGAAAAAACTTGAGATTTTTTTTCGTTTTGCGAACCGGGAAGATCATTATAGGACGGATGGAGTAATGTTTAAGAAAACATATTGTAGAACTCATATGTGATATATGAGTTTAGATTAACCCCCACTTGCACTGGACAAGTGGTTGGTCAACGTACTCCAAATCTTGTGTGCGGAGCTATCGTTGATGCAACATTTTAAAACCTTGAGGACTATTGGTACAGTTTTTAAAAGTTTAGCGGAATTCGTGTTATTTTTGAAAAGCTCGGGGTAAATGTCGTAAAAAACTAAAAAAGAATGCATCTATATATTATTCGCGTTTGAAATACTATGTTTTAAATTTAGATATATGATATTATTGTGTGTGTGTGTGTGTGTGTATATATATATATAGATTCATTATATGCTTTTTAAAAATTATTGGAAGAAACTAAAAGGATTTCGAAAAAATTAAAAGAAATTCCAAAAAAAACTAAAATGAGCTTGAAGAAATTGAAAGAAATAAGAAAAAGTTAGAAGTCAAGTTTTTTTTAACCCAAATGAACGGTCACTTAACAAAAAATAGAGTGGAGTAACAAAATTCACATTAGGTACAAAAATAGGTCAATGAACTTTGTATAAAAATATGTTCCACTTTCACTTCTTGCATGTCCCATAAAACATTTTAATTTGGCCTAAATGGACATAATTACCTTTATTTTTCTTAAATCTAACCGAACTCACCTCAATTATTTTATACGCTCTATCTATTTTGATATTTACGAGTCCAACGTGTTGCAATTGTCGTCGTTTCGCCTTTTACAAATTTTACTCCCTCCGTCCTAAAACTTTCTTCCCAGAGCACTATTCCAACTTCACGGGAATTTATATTTTTTTGTGTTTTTTCATGGCCTATATGATAAAATAAAATATTCTTGTCACCACTTGTTTTGTTGAACTTTTGATGTAGTTTTTAAATATGTATGTTTTATTTTTCATTTCTATACCAATATTTAAATAAAATAGATTGAAAAAACTTGGGATTTTTCTTCGTTTTGCGCAACGAAAAGAAAGTTTTAGGACGGAGGGTGTAATACCTTTCCCTTCAAAAGTCAACACGGTAAAATTTTTTTTTGGACAGAGGAAGTGTCATGTTACTCTAAATTAAATTGAGAAAACAAATGAGGATAGATGAAGTGCAGAGTATATATTTTACCCGTTTGGTAACATGTTTGGCATTTTGAAAAAAAATATTTTTCTACCACTGTCCAAATTTAAGTCGCATATTTACTATTCACATGGTCAACCATTAACGGCTTTCTTGATCAATTTCGTGATTCATTTGTAAAAATTGATATATTTTTATCTTCTCTTGTTTTGTAGAGTTTTGTATTTACTTTTCAAACTATAACTTTTATTTTTTAAATTTCTTACCAATTTTCAAATAAAATAAATTGAAAATAACTTTAGTCAAACCTAATAAACAACAAGCGATTCTTTTGGCATGGAGTAATTTTTTAGCATAATGTTTAGATATACAAATTCTATTTCTATATCAATTATTAAACATAATAAATTAAAAAAATTTAAAATTTACTTCATTTCACAAGTGTAAAATATTTTGGGAATGATCGAAAATTTAACAACCATGCTAGGGGTACACTAAAAGTGTACTCCAAAGAAATGTATCGACATTTGAACGGTTTACACTAGCACAAAATGTTAATTCAATTAAAAAAATTTATACAGATATTTTTTGTCAATGTAAATCACAACACTAGCTTTACATTAACACAAAATATACTACCTCCGTCCCAAATTATTTGTCACATTTCTATTACTGAGATAAAATATCAAGTTTTTTCAATTCATTTTATTTACATATTGGTAAAGAAATAAAAAATAAAAATTACATATCAAAAAACTACATGAAAAGTTGTTCGAAAAAGAGGTGTCAAGAACATTTTATTTTATCAAATAACCAATGAAAACATAGAAATAAACAAAAGTTCCCGAGAGTGTTGAAAAAACAAATGTGGCAAATAATTTAGGACGGGGGAGTATGTCTTTAGGATATAAAATAGGGTACAAATTTTGGATTAGAAATAGCTTAATCCAATATTTAATTTGGGAGTGGTTATATGCTGTCCTTTTTTGTGGTGAATGGATGAAAATGCCATTTACCTAATCCCACCAAACCAACCGTATGCGTGAACCTCGCATTTCCCTCGCGTTAAACATCTTTTCTACAGCAGTTGAATTTCACAAAATTAATACATACTTAAAATTAAACTTAAAAAAAAATATAATCCGCATGCAATTAGAATTTAATAATTTATAGAAATGAAAAACTGTCAAGCCCTTATATATACTCATTTCGTCTTAATTTTGATTACAATCTTTTTCACTCATTTCTCGATAAATTTTGTTTATTTGTTTGTTTTCATTGATTAATTGATAAAATAAAATATTTTTGTCACTTCTTACTTTATAAAACTTTTGGTGTATTTTTTTTAAGTATACTTTCATTTTGTGTCAATGTAAATGTTGGTACAAATTTTTGTTAATCGATGGTATTACTTTGGGGTACACTTCGGTGTAATTTTGAGATATACTTTTTTGTCTTAGTGTAGTAGCATGGTAGTACAAAATTTACCTTAGAAAAGATACACAGTATTTGTTGTACCAGTGGGAATTGTGAAGTACTCCGTAGTTCGTACTCCCTCCGTCTCACAAAGAATGTCACGTTTACTATTCTAACTTCTCGATAACTTTTGTTTGTTTACTCGTTTTGGTTGACCATTTGATAAAATAAAATATTCTTATCGCATCTTGTTTTGTAGAGCTTTTCATATACTTTTAAATGGTGTAATTTTTACTTTTTATTACTCTACCAATTTGAAATTAAAGTAATTTTAAAAGAGATGATATTTTACACGTCGTTCGAAGTGTTGCAAATAAATTGGGGCGGAGAGAGTATTAGTTACTCGATAGAGTCTTTTAAAATGTGAACATACCTGTCCTATTTAACTACTCCGACCCCTATTTTTATCTTTCATTGTGAGAGTAGGTTTCCAAAACAATTTAATCTACTCCCTAATAAGATGTTTTTATAAATCAGTTCTTAATAAGAGCATTTACAACGCATGTTGTATATTTTGGTAGTGTAAAAGTAATTTTTACACTATCAACAATGTTTTACACATCCAGTTTTTTATATTCACTCCAACCATATCTTCTATTTAAAACACTTTTATAATATTTTATTATTATATTATTTTTTACTGCCTTTCTATCTACTCTCCTTATCCAAAAATTCATTTCCAAATTTAATAGCAGACCTGTTGCAGAAATTTATCTGAAAGAAGGTTTGAAGAGAGTATCAGTTTTGGCTTCCAATTTTAGGGCACAGCAAATTGAAGAAATGAATAAAATCAAAGGTGAATTAGAGAAAGGGTACAGATTGCATCAGTTTTGACTTGAAAGAAAATTGAAGCAAATTGAGAAAGGGATTGGGATGAAGAATTTGAAGCAAAATGAGAGGAAGAGCCGAAGGGGGATGAAGAAAAAAAAGAGAAAACAGTGAATACACTATCTACAGTGGCTGTGTAGAAATAAGAGGTGGGACTTGATTTTTGCACTATAATGCTTTTTAGCTTTTGGGATACACTATGCGCTGGAGGAAGATAAAATGAATAGTAAATTGGATATAGGGTATATTTAACCATATACACCTTGCCTTGCAGATGCTGTAAGTTTTAGTTATCTACCAGGTGTAACATTCTAACCTGCGTAATCTGAATTAATGGGTTAACGAACTGGAATATTATTAAATTTGTATCCGTACACAATATTTTTAAAAAAAATTAAAATCATTTAATTCCAAAGTCAAAACATTTCAAAATAATTTAAACATTTATCATAGTTATTTCAAAACAGTACGGAAGCTAACTGTCGAACCCCTCCTGACATTAATAATAGCAAACCATCGTAGTAATTATTCCTTTAAAGTCATGCAGCCATACATCTCCTATGTCTCGCTGCTCTCTAAAATCAATTGACCTCAGCCCCACCTGCGTCTAACCAAAACAAAACAACTGCACGCTCAGCGATGAGCGGAGTGAGATTATCTAACATTTCGAACATATAAAATAAGCGAACCCACTACTTTATAATTATCAAGTGACATCATGCACGTAAGCTTAATTTCATGCATATCACGTAAACAGTTCATCACTCAATTTACCTTGCACCTGCCCATTTTCAATTCATTCTCATCAAACCTATGCATTTCTCAAGGTTGGTACGTGGATCACCAAGAACCGGCTCCTATAACTTGTCCTAGACTAAAGACTACCACTTGATTTTGGAGTCATGATTAATCTCATTGGATCAGCGGGTCATGCTCAACAAACGAAAGAGTTTACCCGTTGGGTGGGTGGATTCATCACAAGGCAGTTCAAGGTGATGAGCTCTCGAAAAGAGAAATGCATTTTGTTTGTATGAGTAGTACTATCAATACTTTTGACCTCTTTCTATTCCCATCCTAATACAGGGTATTACAAAGAGAGAGAGAGAGATCGTCGGCAAAGATGGAATCGCCATCCACGGTCGGATTCCTTGGCTGACACCGCTGCGTGTTTCATTCGAAGAAGAAGGAGAAGCGACGATAAAAAACAAGGAGATGGAGACCTTCTAACGAGTGAAGGTAACGTGTGTGTGTGTGTGTGTGTATATATATATATGTCTTAATTTTTTTTGATTAATTAATACTGATCCATTGTTTAATCTAAATCTTTATGATTACCGCCAGATTAGTCACGTTATATTGGGGCGATTAAAATCTCCAAAGTGTGTTGTAATTCTTTGAAAGAAGGAATTGCATAAATAAATAATTCTTATTTATTTAATTAGCAAATACTCCCTTCATCCCATTTTATAACGCCTATTTCGGTATACGATGTTTGACTGAAATTATTTTCAAAGCATTTTATATGACAAATGGTATATAGTTAAAAAATAAAAATTAAATATTAAAATACTACATCAAAAGATCTACAAAACTAGTAGTGACAATAATACTTTATTTTATCAAATTGTTAACGAAAATAGAGAAAGAAAGTGAATGAAGTTTGACCCTGTGAATAGTGAATATGCATTATAATTTGGGACGGGGGGAGTAACTTCTAGACCATTTTTTAAGGCGTTACACCGCAGTTCTCTATCATTGAAAGTTATTCCACAAATAGTCATTCGTAAATAATGTTACTAAAATGATGATTAATTCGAGTGTATATTGGTATTTTTATCAGCTAAATTTAGAATAAGTTCTTAAAATGATCATTTCTAATAAATAGCTTTTCAAGGTAGTTAAAGTTTGATTATTTCTCTTATATGTAGGTCTATGGTAAATCTCCGATCCACAATAGAATTTGTCTTATTTCAAAGAAGGGGGTTTCCATGACATTGGTTACCCGGGGGTGCTCCGGTTCCCCGTTCGTAAAATTGACGGTTTCTACCCCCCTCCAACCCCCTGGTAAACCTCCCCACCTGCCCCGACCAGAACACGCCCCCCCACCCCCTTCAATTGCACCCCTAAGTTAATTTTGACTTTGGAATCAACTTTTAACTCCAAAGTCAAAATTAACTTGGGGGTGCAATTGAAGGGGGTGGGGGCGTGTTCGGGTTAGGGCGGGGTGGGGAGGTTTACCAGGGGGTTAGGGGGTAGAAACCATCAATTTTATAAACGGTGCACCGGAGCACCCCCGGGTCATCCCATGACATTGGTTCAAGGTGTATTTCAAAACATCACGGGAACCAAGGTGTATTTCAAAACGTAATTTTCATTTTGGCTCCAAGGCCCAGAATTGACACCCTATATTTCGTCCAGGTCCAATTAAAAAGCCATCGACGTTTCCAGCTTGAACGTACCCGGCCCATAATGATCTATCCAAGTGTTTTCAAACTTCGGTTCAATGAACGTAGACAGTATTTAAGTTCATTGAACTTAGACCACGCGAGTAATAAAATCGGCTTCTATTCTCCGCACGCAGTCCTCACAAAATATGCACTACTAGAGTTGGAGTCAATGTGATAGTTTGATTTTTTTTAAGTAAATAAAATAAAAGTTCGAAATTATATTCAAACGGTTACTTTAAATGGTCGTCAAGAATTGAATTTCCAGTCCTCCAAAACAAATTCTAACGACTTAGAACGGATATTATACTACTAATATACTGTACAATCTTATTTAATTTACTTTTAAAGTTTATTTATCTTGACTTGAAAAAGTCAAACTGAACAAATACACTTGTACAAACATATACTAATATAAATATATATGACTAACATTTAACTTGGAAGTTGGAAATGCAAGAAGCTTTGAGAACCTTATTTTGTTTTATTAATATACAATGCAAATTTATAGGAATTGATTATTAAAATTTGCAAATTTTAAACAAAAAATGAAATTAGATGAATATTTTAAGAGGTGATTATTATTTTACGTTTTAAAGAAAGTGGAGCAATCTTTTTTTTGTGAACATCCAATAAATTAAAAAGATGATCAGAAGTTTCTAAAAGAGAAAAAGAAGATTATTTACTCCTATTTGAAAAAAAACAATTCCACTTGCGCATCCCATAAAACACCACTATCCTAATCTAAAATAATATATATACTCGTAATATACTACGTTTTCCTTTGACTAAATTTCATAACTGGTTCTTTATAATAATGGATTTCCATATTTAACCTTCTATTATTAAATATTATGTCTATGATTCTTATTCATGGATACCTCTTTACAAATAGTCTTTTTTTACTATATGTCATTTTGGTATTAATTTGAGAGCTAAAAATATAATTTGACATCAGTTTTATATCTAGTCATGTATTCCAATGTCGATTAGACGATAACACTTACTAATAGATAATGATTATGATTGTGGACTAGGATATTCCGACAAAAGACCACACCTGTGGACAATGCTTGTGGTAGACAGCGACTGCGATTCGCAAATGACGCCTCTGAAATTGTGTATAGCAAGAAAAATATATGATCAACACCATCATGATAGAAGATTAGAATATTAAAAAAGAATTATTTGTGAAAATTTACTCATTAAAAAAAGTACAATTGTAATACTCCCTCCGTCCCATAAAGATGGGTACGTTTTGACTAAAGTAGAAATTAAGGGAGAGATAATTTTGTGTTGACTTTCTAAAAATACCCTTGATGTGATGGGTAAAAGTATGATGTGATGTGTAGATTATTAGAAAAAAGGTATGATGTGATAGGTAGGGTTTGAAAAAGTAAGGGGTAAAAGTTGTTTTTTAATAGAAATGGGTAAGAGATTGTGAGACGTAATTTTTTTGAAACGTTTAAATCTTTTTGGGACGGAGGGAGTATTTGATAATAAAAAGATTAAATATGAAGAAATTAATGCTATAAAGGATCAATTGTGCAGTTGACTATTTTAATTTTATTGTACATAAAAATTATTTGGAGATACTTTAAATATTTTAGGTGGAATAAATATGATTAGTGGGATATGCAAAAAGATGAATATGAAATTATTTTTCAAATTAAAAGGGAAGTAGAAATTACTCCACATATATAGAGGTTGAACAAGACAAAACACACCATTACTATATGGAGTTGAGAAAATAAGTGAACAAAAGCGCGAAAACCCCGTGAAATCACTGAAAACGATGTACTTGGTCGTATATCCAGTCCAGGTTCATTCCATATATACCTGAAATCTCACTCCTATGCCATCACGATTCCGCACACAAAAAACATAAGGAGTAAAGTATAAATATCTGCCACGTACATGATTACATTTTCATTCAACATAATGTCCTCATTCTTTATTTTCTCAGAGAAACTCCATTAATGCTTAATACGGAGTATACTTTATTAATCTAAGTGTCGCCATTTTGTTAACACTATTGTTCTAAGCTAAGCTTTGGTATCAAAATAATATAAGTACGTACCCACACCCATTTGATCATGGCGGCGAATATGGTTCCGGCGAGATTCAAGAGGGTGGCCGACGCCTTCGACGAGGCGGCGCTTACTCTCAGGACGCGGCCGCCTTGCGGCAGCAGCGGCAGCGAGCACTCCGACGACCCCGAGAGCCTGACGGACTTGTCACGCCTCGTCAATTCTTTCATCGAAAACGACGACGACGAGGCGTGGGAGGGTCCCGCCGAGTGGGCCGTGGAAGACGTCGATGATGATGACGGCCGGGTCGGTGACGACCGGCAACGGGAGGAGGAGAATTGCTGCGACGACGTCGTTGAAGCGAGGGACTCTCTGCAGCGCCTGCTAAGCTCAGGCGAGGATGATGTCACCAAGAGAAGTCTGCTTGAGGCGGTGGAAAGATCTCGCCGGGAACTGGGGGAACGATCGTATAATTCGCCGGATTTTAAACGCCGGTTGATGGGTCGATTGCGAAATCAGGGCTTTGATGCCGGTAAGCAAATATGATCCTAATTGTTCAATTAAATAAAAATTACTCTTCTTAAAACTTCCATCTTCAAAAGATTTTTTTATGTTTTGATTTTTTTTAGTAAAAAAATGATACTTTTTGACTATACACATCGTGAAAAAAGTATAATTCTAATATTAATTCAGAATAATTAGATTTGTCTTAGGATAAAGTTTTGATATATCTAATTTTTATTATTAACTTCTTCAAATTATGTTTAATTTATTCCCTTCCCGTCCTAAAAATTTTTCTTGTTTTGATTTTTTTGATCAAAGAGTAACGCACTTTGATCACAAATTAAATATAATCTAAACAAATAAATGATATAAAAATTTGATATATCAGAACTATGTTTTAGAATTAACCCAATTATATTGAATTTATATTGTAATTAAATATGTTTTTTCAGGACCAAATAATATTTATATTCATTTTATTAGAAATTTTGAAAGGGGCATTAAAATTTCAACGCATGCAGGGTTATGCAAAACGAGATGGGAGAAAAAGGAGAGTTGCCCCCGCGGGGATTACGAGTACATAGACGTGAACGCCAACGGGGAGCGATACATAGTGGAGTTCAACCTTAGGGGGGAGCTGGAGACAGCGAGGCCGACGGCGGGGTACAGGTTGCTGGCGGAGATGTTCGGTGAGGCGGGGGCGGCGTACGTGGGGAGGGCGGAGGAGTTGAAGAAGATAGCGAGGATAATGAGCGGGGAGATGAAGAGGTCAATGAAGAGCGTGGGAATGCACGTCCCCCCTTGGAGGCGGAGCGCTTACGTGCAGGCCAAGTGGTTTAGTTCGTACAAGCGGACGACGAATAACGTTCGTACTGCTCGTGATGACGTGACCTTATTCGTCGTCCCCTTGTCATCATCATCTTCTGCTTCGTGTTCGACGAGCTGGGCGCAGAAGCAGAGGAGATGGGTCGGGTTTGACCTTGCTAGGCCAGCTGATGAAATTGCATTAAAGGAGAGAATGGTTTGAGAAAAATGGATAGATGGAGGGATGGAGCTAGGGAGGGAGGAAATCATTTAAATAGTTCATTTTGAGATTTGTTTTTTTTGGTTTATGCATTATTTGAATTGTGTATGTATGTAGTGGATAGAAGTAGAATATTGAAATGTGTTTGCCAATATTTATGAGCATTGTTAGGGTCGGTCGGTCTCGAAGATTCAGTCGGCCTCGACGAGATTCAAAAACGGGTCGTCTTGGCCGTAATAAATTAAATTGTACTAATTACTTTCTTTTAAACAATAATTAATTTTATTATAATTAAATGTCGTAATAGATATCTTAAAAAAATAAATTTTAATTTTTTTTAAATAAAAATATAGAATGTATATTAAAACATAACAAATCCGGAAGGTTGTGGTTCACAAAAAAAGTACTCTCTCCGTCCCAAAATATTCATAACATTTGTTTTTTTAGCAGTCGCGGGAACTTTTGTTTATTTTTACGTTTTCATTGATTATTTAATAAAATAAAATATTTTTGACATCTCTTATTTCGAAAAACTTTTCATGTAGTTTTTTGATATGTAAATTTTATTTTTTATTTCTATACCAATATGTAAATAAAATGAATTGAAAAAACTTGATATTTTGTTTCGGGAATACAAATGTGGCAAATATTTAGAGATGGAAGGAGTATATTTAAAGGACAAATATTGAATAAAAACTAGGGAAGATAATTTTTGTAATGGTCCCGACGATTCATTTAAAGTTTGAACTGATTTTTTTTGGTAAATGAACATTATGATGTAGCTGTTGAAGGTTCCTTTGTTGGCCAACAATAACAGTTACTTAGATTGATTAAAAGAAAATTCATTGTCACGTACCACTATCATATAGGGTTTGACAGGTGTACATGAGATGGTGTACACCAGACTTTTCACAAACAAACATAAGTATTAATTGTCTCTGTGAAACACAAAAAATTAGTGTCTGTGTATGTCTGTTAGAAATTTGGTGTACACTTGGTATACACAAATGTGGTACACCTAGATTTTCTCCTATCATATACTCCACATAAAAGCTCGAAATAAGTTCCTCAACCATGCTAGGGGTACCCCACTAAGAAGTGTACCGAAAGCGTTGTACCAACATTTTAGCGGTTCACACTAACACAAAATACCAATTTAATAAAAAAATATTACTGACATTTTATATCATTACAAACCATGACAATAACATTCTACCAACACAAAATATTGATATATTCCTTCCGAATATAAAATGAAGTACACTTTTTGGGTACACGTGATTTAATTCAAAACTCTTACCTACGACTTCCGAAACAATCCCTTGATTCATCATTAAGTTTCAGTATTTGTGGTGTTGGGCCCGATGATCTTATTCACTAAATTATTAGTGGACCCGTTAGTAATCCCTTTAAATTACTTCCTTCTTTACTAAGAACAAAGGATGGGCTCCATTCCCGATGGTCCCTCAGACTCGGCTGGATAATCACTAAAAGAAGATAAATTAGACTTTAATCGCATATTGGTGGCAAAGAATAGAGCTTACACCTGGTACTTGCAGAGACTCTATGCTTAGCATAGTTGCCTCCATCGCAATTGTTAGGAATCGAACTCGGGTCTTACCCCCTTCGCACCCCTTCCCTTGCCAACTGCGCAACGCCCACCGGTTTCCTTGTTTTTTAAGAATGATAGATCCCGGAAGGCTCCCATGGATAAGAGAAAGTGAATTCAACTATAAATTGAAAACTATACCGCTAAGTGCTCAAAGAACGAGTACACATGAAAAATATTCTCTGTTCCAAAATGATTTATTTATTTACTATTATAATGTCTCCAAAAAAACTTTTTGACTTGTAAAACTTGTAATATATTTCGTAGTTTTTAAATGTGTAAATGTTCTTTTTTTATATACCAAATTGTAAATAAAATAATTTCAAAATTCACAAAATTTTGTACATTGTTCGAACATGAAACTTCTTTAAACAACGGAGGAAGTGTATACAATGTCGGCAGGGTCGGTCATGAAAAATAAAAAAATAAAATTGGTCCGGTCCCAAATTTACATTTTGGACCCGGTTTTATTTTTTAGAATACTTATGCTTTAAAATTAATGTCGAAATTAAAAATATTGGACCCTAAAATTTTATGAGCCATGTGCGGCTGGTCACTTTGCACACCCTCCGGGCCACCCATGAATGCCGGTGGTGCTCTTAGAATGTTAAAATTGGAAAAAACGGCTTGATGTTACAGGTTTTACCAGTGCTCTAAATTGGAAAAAACGGGCCTCGGCCCACTTAATAAGTAATTTTTATCTTTTTAAAAAGTAATCATTCTAAAAAAAGTAAGAAATGATAACTTTTATAAGACAAATTTAAAAAGGTATCTTAACATGCTTCTCTCACCTTTTGTTTGCCATTTAAGCTTTTGTTATCCTAGTTATTTTTGTGTTATTTGATTTGGAAGTCTTTTGGAATAATCTCAATACTTTTAATAGAGATAATGTCCATATACACATGACTTCTCCATACTCTCTTGTTGTTGCATTGGTATCTACAAGGTTATTATGGTTGTTGTAAATTAAAAAAAAAGAAAGTATCGATACCTCTTTAAGCTGAAAGGACTTTTTTCTTTTCATATATTTTCACCAATAGAATGTAAAATGTAGAAAGATTGGGCACAAGTCAAGCAGAATAGAAAGACCACATTTTTTGACTGGATGGGTAGCTTAATTATTATTTGGTTTAACGGGTGAATCTCAAGCCCGAGGTCTTATGATCAAATCTCAGTAGCGATAGTGTGTGAATCCTATTCATTATAAAAACTCTTTGTATGCATCGATCACGAAACGACTTCTCTAAAAAACAGATAAAGATTATACCACGACTTAGGCCCCGTTTCGTTCAACTCTTTTTTCTGTTATTTCTTATTCTTATTAAAATCAGATCAGATCAGATGAGATCCAATCAGATTATTATCATCATCATCATCATCAATATTATTATAACTCCATACTTTTTAAATTCCATATTTTTTTACATGTTTTACTTGATACGATTAAAGAGAATATGAGTGTGTAACATTCAATGAGTGGGATTGAAGAGAATAAGAGTGTGTAACACTTTATGCAATATATTATTTATAGCATACAATGTTTTTTTGTCAAGCACATCTAGCATGTAATATATTACTCGTATTATCATACAAGATGCAGAAAAATGTATTACGAGTATTTTTTTGCTTAATATTGAAATTTTATAAAGATGAGATATATTAATAAAAATACTATCTCTTCTCTGTATTGATTATCTAATTTTAATTACTTTTTAATGTATATATGAATTAAATATTTATTCTAATGTATAAATGAACTAATTATTAAAATATTAAATCAATATTCTTATTCCATTGGAAAAATAATCATAAAATAAAAAATATTATTACATTATAATATGAATGATTATTCTAATACGGAGTATATGAAGTGACTAATTTTATTTCATTAAAAAAAATCATAAAATAAAAAATATTGATTATATTATAATATGAATTATCATTACAATTTTCAAATGTTATTATAAAGTCAGGTCAAAATATTGATTTGAATTTTAAATCAAATCATAATTAATCAAATCAGATGAGATTCAATTAGATCAAATCAGATCCGATCAAATCAGATCCGATCAAATCAGATCCGATCAAATCAGATCAGATTCAATCAGATCAGATCAGAAAAAATAAGTTGAACGAAACGGATCCTTAATGTTCTCATGACTCAATCGCACCAGAGGTAAAACTAGAGGTTAGCTTTCTTTTCCCTATTTTTACGTACAAAGTTTAAATAAAAAAATAAAGTTATATGTATAAAATTTATGGAGGGCATTCCAATGACATAAGGCCCCTTTTGGGGTTCTATAGTATCTCATTCAAAAAATTTATGATCCCCACTCCCCAAATCAGTAATGTAAACCCCCACTTTGGCTCGATTCAAACCACTCTCGTCCTTGTAAATTGCATTCTATAAGATGTAATTGACTTTGAAGTTAAAAGACTAACTTTTCTATGGTGTAATTCACGGGGTTGGGCGTTGATTCATGTCAGGCCAGGTTTGAGGTTAACTCGAGTGGGGAGGGGGGGGGGGTTGGAAGCACTAATTTTTCGAATGGTACATCATATAGATCTTGGGTTATCTTATAATATTGATTTCCAATGTGATGTGAATCGATTTAAAAATTTAAATTTTAAAAAACTCAAATTTAGACTATTTGATTGAGGTATTCTTTGGAACAATGGATGTTAAGAAAAAAAAAGATTAGCCCCATCTTTGAGGGTCTCCTTAGGTTTGGCTCAACAGCTACTGAAAAGAAAGAAAATAATTAAGACTTTAATCGGAAATAAATTAATAGAAGCATATTCAAGACTTGAAGCATTGATGGTAGAGGTGTAAATATGGACTGCGTCACAGGAAAAAACTCCCTCCCCAAAACATTTAACCCCCAAACTACCCCAAAAAATGAATATTGTCACCTACTTCACTGCTCCACCACTCTCTCTCTCTCTTATCACTTTCAATCCTACCAAAAAAAATATATATTCGAATTCTCTCTTTTTCCCTTATCACTCCACCAAGTTATATTCCCCCCTTCAAGATTTGATCATCCGCCATGAAGAAGCTTTACAGAAAAAGCACTGTTCACCCAACTCCAGCTCCTCCTCCTCCTCCGCCGTCACTTTCAACCCGGCTCGCTTTCCTGCCGGCGGCGATCTTGGCCCTCTTGGCCTCCCTGTCTGAGGAGGACAAACAAGTCCTGTCTTATTTCCTATTTTGCCCCTCTGCAACCCTCTTCAACCCCCACGCCTTTATGAAGGGCCGCGGCGGCGGCGGAGGCGCGGCTGACCACCACCCGCCGTCCCCCAGCTGCTACTGCTTCAACTGCTACCGGAGTTTCTGGGCGCGATGGGATTCTTCGCCGGACCGCCGAATCATAGACGAGATTGTGGAAGCTTACGAAGACGGGTTACATAGGAAGAAGGAGAGGAGCAGGAAGAAGGAAACGAGGAAAATTGGTAAAGGGCCGGCGGTGGGTTTGAAAAGTAAGGACGATTCCGGCGCTGTGCCGGAGATGCCCGGCGATTCTGGTGGCGGAGGAGATGGCGGAGCCGCCGAGAGAGGGTCGGTGAGGAGATTTGTGGGCTTTCTTGGAGAGAGGATTTGGAGTGTTTGGACTTGATGAAGACATATATGAAAGCTCTATATATT